CCCAAACAGGCCATTCGTGGGGTTGGGGGAGGAGGGAGTACCGCGTTCACCAGGCCTGCATCTGACCGGAAGCCGCCTGGCCCCTTCCAGCGGCTCGGGGTTCAGGAGCCCCCCAGTGTCGTGGTTTTAGCTTCAGGTCCGCAGGGGCTGTTTGCAGTCTCAGGTTTATCTTCCCACCTGGCTCTGCCCAGCACCGGGGATCCCTCCTGCCGGCTCCTGGGCAACAGCGCTGGGCACTTCCCGCACCTTCCTGCCCGAGGCCTGGGCTACACGGGGAGAGGTCAGGAGGGCAAAGGTCGCCTGTGAGCCAGGCCAGGGTTGACCTTGGACTCCTGCTTCCCGCACCTGAAAAGGGCATCAAGACCCAAGCCCAGGTGCCCCTCGTGGGGCAAATGCCTGCAGCTCAGGCCGCTCCTTGCCTCTCTGGCTGCTCCTCTCACTGAGATACCGGCCTGAGCTGCTTTTAAGAGGAAATTGAAGTGTATTTTATCCCACGGTTTTAGTGGTTTCAGAGCGACGGTGGGTCTGCCCACGTGAACAGGAAGGGAGGCCGCTCCCGACTCCCGCAGTCGCATTGTGCCGTAGCCCTAGTTCCCACAGCTTGGTTTCGCTGTCACCTGCCGGCCACCTCTCCTTCCCTCCCTGGCGGCCCCGGCCCGGCCCCCGGCGGGTGGACTTCCTCCCCGGAGGTGTGGGAAGGACAGCCGCGTCCTGCGTGCTCAAGGACACTCGGCCGGTGCTTTGTTTTCCCGGGGGCAGTTGGGGCGCAGAGTTAATGGCTCACACTCCTCTCCGCCTGGAGAAAGCAGGAGCTGGTGACTTGCTTGCTCCTCGGCGGTGACCTATTTGGGTCCAGGTAATGCTCGCGGAGCTGGGTCCCGGCGTCCAGTGGCTCCACTGGGCCACGTCTTACCGTGGGGCAGATGCCTGCAGCTCAGGCCGCTCCTTCCCTCTCGGCGGCTCCCTCACGGAGATGCTGCCTGAGCGTCCGGCCCTGGACCTGACTCTCCCGTCGTTACTGTTGGCTCAGACCCTCAGGTGATGCCACTTGTGCGTGTGCCGCACCCTCTTGTCTTTATGGGTCCTTGGCTGCCCCCCCGCGACCCCTTTCCGGCAGGACCCCATGGCCTCGCCGGGCTGTTTCATCCTGGCCCTCGGTTTCCATCACTGTTTGGTTTTCTCTTCCCCGTTCCTCCCAACTGTGCCAGCTCCCTTTCCATGTTCTCATGTGCACATT